CAATATTAAAAACTTGGTTGAAACGTATACAAAAATACATGTATTTATTAGAAAGACAGTTAAAAACATATAAGGGCCCAAAGAAAGCCTCGTTAAAAAGTTCAAGTGGCCTAAGCACAAGGGCCAATACACATGAGGTACATGTAATAATAATACATATTATAATAAGATAACCAATAAGTGAATACTGGACCAAGAAAAGGAAGGCTGTAGAAAAAAGAAAAAATATTTGATTATTCATATTCAATGTTCTTTTTGTCTTTTTTCTACAGCCTTCTTTGTGCTTAGGCCACTTGAACTTTTTAACAAGGCTTTCATTGGGCCCTTATATGTTTTTAACTGTCTTTCTAATAAATACATGTATTTTTGTATATTATAAGTTTCAACCAGGTTTTTAATATTGGCCCTTTATCAGGCTTCTTTCTTACCCTTGTGGTTCTTGGTTCCAGTTTTTGGTTCCAGTTTGTTTTCCCCTCCCTGTCTTAGTGTGTTTGTACCTGTCAGAAGGACTCATACAAAGGGGATTATGTATTGGAGATCGACTGCACACACTCGATTGTATGCTGTCCAGGGGAGGCTGCCCCACAATAGGAATGCCACCACTGTGAAGCAGTAGCGCACTGTGTAGCAGTAGCGCACTTCTTGAAAGCAAGGGACCAGGTTGCCAAGCCCCAGGTGGTGGCTGGAGATCTCCTGGGATTGCAACTGATCTCCAGTTCACAGAGATCAGTTCACCTGGAGAAAATGGCTGCTTTGGAGAGAGGACTGTATGGCATTATACCTCATTGAAGTCCCTCCTGTCCCCAATCCCTTTCCTCCTCAGACTCCATCCCCCAAATCTCCAGGTATTCTCATGGGAAGAAACACTTCTGCAGTTATGCTAAGTTTGCAGGAAAATCGGCAGGAAAAAAAACACACACGCCCCAATTTAAATGGATGCTTGTTACCTTTAAAGTAGCAATGTTTTGCCCTTTTTATGCTTGTGTGACACTGGGAAGCAGAAAGCAGAACACATTAGTGATAAGAGGGCCAATGAAGGATAAAAGGAAATGCACTAACAAGGGCAAACATTTTGTAGGAAGCCCATTTTCCCCGCTCTGTTTCATGTCAAACCCGGCGTTGCGGGCCATATTGATCTTGACTGGAGGCGGAGCCCTACTTAAATGAAAAGTGAGCAAGGACCATTGGTTTGAAGATTACACTGCACCAGAATTCGGTCAGTACTGCTGGTTCCTAGACTTGTTTTAGAAGTACCAGTCAGGGCCCTGACCAGTTAGGGCCCAGGGAAGCCTGATCTTGTCAGATCTCGGAAGTGAAGCAAGGCCGACCCTGGCAAGTACTTGGATAGAAGACCTCCTTGAAATACCAGAGCCAGGACGCAGAGGTAAGCGATAACAGGCCACCTCTCTGAAATGTCCTAGTTCCACTAGGGGTCACCAGGAGGCAACCATGACTTCCAGGCACACAAGTGCGTGCACACACGCACACTCGCCAAAAAAAAGTACTGGTTAAGCCAGAAGAGTTAAAACAGCTAGAGAGGTAAGGCTGCCAGCTTCCCGGTGAGGCCTGGAAATCTCCTGGTTATTACCAGTGATTTCCAGACTACAGAGGTCAGTTGTCCTGGAGAAACTGGCTGCTTTGGAGGGAGGACTTGACATAATACCCTACGGAGGTCCCTCCACACACCTTGAACGGAATGAGTTAATTGGTAGTAGCCAGCATGGGTTTATCAAGAATAAGTCATGCCAGACCAACCTTATCTCCTAAAATGGTTGACTCTGGCAATGCTGTGGATATAGTGTATCTAGATTTCAGTAAAGCATTTGACAAAGTTTCTCATGATAATGTTCGTTGCATCGATGACATTGTCTAACCATCTCATCCTTTGCCATCTCCGTCTTCTTTGACCTTCAATCTTTCCCAGCATCAGGGTCTTCTCCAGTGAGTGCTCCCTTCTCATTTGGTGGCCAAAGTATTTGAGCTTCAGTTTCATTATCTGGCCTTCCAGGGAACAGTCAGGGTTGATTTCTTTTAGGATTGACTGATTTGATCTTCTTGCAGTCCAAGGGACTCTCAAGAGTCTTCTCCAGCACCATAGGCTGTACCTCCACAGTTCCAGGAAATCCCCAGTCTGGAGCTGGCCATCCACTTGTTGACTAGTTGGTTGAGAGCCGGAATTAAGCATGGAAGGCAGTGCTGAGAAGCTTGTTTAGCTATGCACTTGGCAAGAGTGTACATTATGTGCAATCGAGGGGTTGTTGCTTAATTGAAAAGCAGTCTTGGAGGCTGTTAATTGTGAGGATGACAAATAATGGGGGGGGGTGTAACTTGACACTCCCCCCCCCGCAAAGAAGCAACCTGGAGAGGGTGACACAGGAGATACGCAGGGTGCTGGGAAAGTACTAAGGACCCTCCCCCCCCAATCTCCTGCAGTTAGTTCAGTCTACAAGACTGCTTTCTCAGATAAATCAAAAACTAAAAAACAAAAACCCTACTTTGGTTGTGGGGAAAGAAACATTCGGTTGTAGTTCAGCCCTTATAGAGCTTGCTCATGGGGGGAAGTTGAAATTGTTGGGCATGTTCTACCATATTGCCATTTTTATGGCATTCTTAGATACGCATTTATTACTACTGTCTTCCAAAACCCCACTGGCAGACCAGAGGAATTGTATACTTCGTGTGTTCTCTTGGACCAGGAGCCTTGGATTGCAGACAGAGTTGCTAGATTTTGTGCTGCTGCTGGAGTCTATGGTAGTTCTGTATTAATTTAATGGATTATATTTGCTGTTTTTATATTTGCTATTTTGTATCATTCTACTTAGTGGCTTTTTAATGTAAATATTTCTGGTACTGTGTGTATTTTGTGCTGGTCTATAATTGTAACGAGGAGGAAGAGGAGGAGAAGAAGAAATGTTGTTGCTGCTTATTATTATTATTATTATTATTCCCTGCCCTTCACACGGAGTCTCAGAGTGGTTTACAATCTTCTTCCCTTCCTTTCCCCACAACAGACACCCTGTAAGGTAGGTGGGGCTGAGAGAACTCTGAGAGAACTGTTTTTGAGAGAACGGCTCTGAGAGAACTGTGACTGACCCAAGGTCACCCAGATGGCTGTATGTGCAGGAGTGGGGAATGAAACCCGGTTCTCCAGATTAGAGTTTGCTGCTCTTAACCACTACATCAAAGTGGTTTATGGTGGGGGTCATCAAGTTGGGTTAAGGATGGATATCCTCCCAGCTATAAAATGGGAGAAGCAGATACTGTGAGAACACTTTCTAGTGTTCTCACCTGACTGTTCTACAACAAATTAACTCCAGTGAAAAGCATTGTGTTCGATGTGGTATGAAAACTGGGTTGTTAAGATGGGAAAGTCTCTTAGAAACTGCAATAGTTTGGTCATTGCAAAGTTTCAGTAACAATAAATGCTTTTAAAATATACTGCATTTCGCCAATTAATTTTGAACCTTGCTGTGAATTGTGCAGAATCAGAAGGGGTCCCCCCTCCCATGCAAACAGTCTCTCAATGTTGTAGTCATCCGGAAATGAACATTCGTGTGAAAAATGTTGCATAAAATTATGAGGACTGAAGAACTATAAAAATTGTCAAAATGCCAGAACAGTAATGAATAACAAGATATTGCAACAATATGTGTAATATAAATGGCAGAATTGTCTGAAAACAGTATTTACAGTGAACTCTTAACTCTGCAGAGCCTCTGATGGAATATGGAATCCTCCCCCCTCCTCCAATTGCACTGAAGAGTCTAGGTTCATTTTCTTTCCTTTCTTCATGATATATGCTGGGTTCTTGTTGTGTGAGCTTTCTATAGGTGCTTTTTCTCGAGGAGGGGGGTGAGCCATAAGACAGCATCAGTTTTTGGCTATTTAATTAACAGTGGATTTGCAAGTAAGATATTTAGTTTCAGGCTAACCTGAAAAGTGAATGACCCTCAACAGGATTCAAGTCCTTTAACATCAAGGAAGGTAAGTTCTATTCTAATCTCCCCAGTAAATAAGGTAAAACATTGGGGTGGGGGGAACCTCTTACATGTAAGAAACCAAAAGCTCCACTTAAAGAACTGGATATCCCTAGTTAAGGTAGTCCAGCAGTACTAGTGATAAAATCTTGGGAATACAACTCCATGCTGCATCCAGGAGACGTGTCCTTGCAGAATTTACATCCCATCACTTGTTGTGAACCTAAAGATTCCTGAATCCCCCTTCAGTCTTCCTTCTCTCACTTCTTGTCCTACATTTTCTGTGAGCCCATCCATCTTGGCTAAGTACACCTGGTTGCGGTTCGTGGTACTTCTTCTGAGCAGACAGAGAGAAAGAGAGAAGGAGTCTCTTACATGAGCACAGTTCTCAGCAGGCTGGCATCGGCAAGGAGTGCAACGGCCAGTAAGCAGCCGAGCAACTTGAGCTGAACGGCAGAGAAAAGCATCCATCAGGCACAGACAGTGGCCAAAGCCCTGGTCTCCCTTGCATCTATCTCCTTACAAGTCCCATCCCGGACAGTGCAAAAGGAACTCGAATTCTGCAGCAAGCGACAGACGGAGCTGTTCGTTTACTGAAAAGAGGAGCGGGGCGCTCCTGTATCTGAATCCACTCTGCGAAAAGAAAAGTGCTGTAGGTGAGAACTGGCTGGCTGCGAGTAGCACTCTGGAGGGGGGGGGAAAGGGGGTGGGAGGAAATGTCAGGCTGCCGGCTGGAATCTTGGAAAGGAACAAAAGGCTGGAAGACGGTGGCTTCTCATAGCTGGAAAGCTTGCTGGGATGCCTGGGCTTCAGGAGCCCGGGTAGTTGCTTCTGAGATGCAAATGAAGAAATCAAGGCGCTGGGATACGATGGGCTGGTAGAGATCTAATACCCTAGATGCTTCAGGACCTCAGATAGCCATGAATGGATTTTACCTGCATGGAAGAGGAGGAGGCACATCGGCCATGACTAACAATAGCCTGATGAAGGGAGGCAAGGCGAGGGAGGGAACCCCAGAGTGTGATGGCTACTTTGCTGTTCCTCCTCATCCTCTCCACCCTGCTGGGCAATACTCTTGTGTGCCTGTCTGTGGTCAAATTCAGGCATCTGCGCTCCAAGGTCACCAACTTCTTTGTCATCTCGCTGGCTGTCTCTGATCTCCTTGTGGCTGTGCTGGTGATGCCCTGGAAGGCCGTCACGGAGGTGGCCGGCTTTTGGCCATTCGGTGGCTTCTGCGATGTCTGGGTGGCCTTTGACATCATGTGCTCCACGGCGTCCATCCTCAACCTGTGCATCATCAGTGTGGATCGCTACTGGGCGATCTCCAGCCCCTTTCGCTATGAGCGGAAAATGACCCAGCGGGTGGCGTTTGTCATGATTGGGGTGGCTTGGATGCTCTCTGTTTTGATCTCGTTCATACCCGTCCAGCTGAGGTGGCACAAAGCCCGTGAGCTTCTTCCAGCCCGTGAAATGGGCCCCAATGTCACCTGGAGCCCTGAGGGAAACTGTGACTCCAGCCTCAACAGGACATACGCTATTTCCTCCTCTCTGATTAGCTTCTACATTCCTGTTGCTATCATGATAGTGACGTACACCAGGATCTTCCGCATTGCCCAGAGGCAGATACGGAGGATTTCCTCTTTGGAGAGGGCTGTGGAGCATGCTCAGAGCTGCCAGAGCCCCCACGGGTGCCCCCATGACGTCACCTTGAAGAACTCCTTCAAAAAAGAAACCAAGGTACTCAAGACCCTCTCGGTCATCATGGGCGTCTTTGTCTTCTGCTGGCTTCCTTTTTTTATCCTCAACTGTGTGGCCCCATTCTGTGAACCCAAACATCACACACTGGGGAAATTTCCTTGTGTTAGCGAGACAATCTTCAACATCTTCGTGTGGTTTGGCTGGGCGAATTCTTCCCTCAACCCCATCATCTATGCTTTCAATGCTGACTTCCGGAAGGCCTTTGCAACTCTCCTGGGCTGTGGCCGATTCTGCCCCAGCAATGCGGTGGAGACGGTGAATTTCAGCAATGATCTGGTCTCGTACCATCACGACACCACCTGTCAGAAAGACTTGGTCACCTTGAGTTATCCACACCTCCTCCCCCATGCAACCTCTCTTCAAGGGGAGGACAATGACCTGGCTTGTGATAAGGGTTCCCAAACCTCTCCCAATAATGCTGCTGTCTTGTCTGCTGTAGTGCATACGGAGCGCGAGACTGACTTATCCCTGGAGAAGATCACACCGTTCACCTCTCATGTGTTGGACTGAAAGGGGCTAGGGACGGTGGTGTGGAAGGGGCAGGGGAACTATCTGGGGACAGCTGTATCTCATCAGTTTTGTGGAAAGCATGTAGAGAAAGAGGGGTGGCAGGAGAGGGGATCTTTCTTTCCTTATTACCAACTCACCAAGTGAAAAAAAGAATTTAACTTGTTAGTAAGTATGCAGACGATCATCTCGCTCTCTTTGATCTACTTCAGGAGGTGAACAGGGAGCGGAGACCTCTAGTGCACCTGCCACTAATTAGTGAGTGCCAATCATTTGCAGTGGACCATGTGAAAGCAAATTCATATCAATTTTAGAAAGCTGGTAAGGTCAACAGGGCCAAGGGCTGTAGCCGCAGGGAGGCGGTGATCCACACTGCAGAGGTCTCACCCTCTAGCAGATACAGGGCTCTTCCCTGAATTTTCAACTTGCTTTTTAATAAATGGAGGTATGTATAAATTCTACAAGATGTAAAGGAGGGGAATTGTGGATAATGCTGTACCAAATGCTCAAGAACAAGAAAGGGGGGGGGAAGGCACAACTCACAGAGGGGGAGAGAGAGGAAGAGAGAGGGAGGGAGTGTGCCGCTTTGCATGCAGAAGGTCTCAGGTTCAATCTCCGGTTAAAAACTCTCATGTAGTAGATGTTACGTAACAACTTTTCTTCCTAGGACCCTGCAGAGCTGTTGCCAGTCAGAGTAGATGTGACTTGGCTAGAGGTACCAAATGGTCTGACTCCTCTAGGGAAGCATGTTGTGTTCCTTTAGGAGGCAAAGGGGGCTGCACCAATAATAGAAAAGCTGCCAAACACCAGGCTGATGAGCTGCCCTTGTATAGTAGGGATTTCCTTATTAAACAACAATTGCACTCTGTCAGCCTCGTTGTTTGTATCTTTCAATAAGGGAGCAATCCTAAGGCGGTCTACTCAAAAGTAAACCCCGTTATATTCAAGAGGATTTACTCCCAGGACAATGTTCTTAAGATTGCAGCCTAAGAAGTCTACCTGCTTCCACATCCAGCATTCCGGCCAGTGAGTGCATTTGGCACATTAAAAAATAAATAAATCCTGGCAACGATCCTGAGCTGCGATCCGGGAGTGCCCTGGTTCACATCTCACCTCTGCTACAAACTCACTGTGGGCGTTAGGCAAGCCACTTGCTCACCCTCATCTTCAATTGGAGGGTGATGATACTAGCCTACCCTACAAGGTTGTTGTAAAGATTACAAAATGTGTGTGGATACTGAAAGGGCAGTATAAATGCTGAAGACTATTATGTTTTCTTGCTCTGTTTTGTCGATTTTCCTGCATCACAAAATTTCCGTTCCGCCAGGGCCCCATGGGGAAGTGGGAGTATGACCCCCTTTCAAAGAGGTATCTTGTGGTATGGACAGGGGAAACTGATGTAGCTTTATCATGGCTGCAGGCTCGGTGAGCACCGAGTGGGAAATACATATTGAGGGAAAAATGGGAAAACCCAGCAATGACTGTGTATTTCAACCAGGGGATTTATTTGAGTGGGATGGTCCTATCAGCTCCTTAGGGCTGCAACCTTGCCCGCGGCTCAAGAATATCTGCCTTGAAAGTATGGCTTGCCCTGCACAGTGGGTGGAAGATAAAGATGGTCTGTTAAAGGAAGGTGATTTGCGGTTTGGTTTTTTTTTGAGGGGGGGGAGCCACAACTTTTCTTGCTTAACTTATAGTCACGGCCCGAAGCATGTTTGGAAACATGTTCCAT